CCATTAAAATTATATAATGAATAATTATTAATTTTTGGTTGATGTAGAAGATAAAGTGTTACCTCTATATAAATATGTATAGCTTTTAGCATGCATCTAACATTACTAGAAAACAACTTTTAATCGACAGGAATTTTTGTCGATTATACTTATAATCGACAGAAAAAATTGTTGAATAAATGTGCATAAAAAATAAGTATAATTAACAAAAATATTTTCTATCAATTATATTGATATCTAATTTTTAAAAAATTAAAAAATTAATTTTACATTTATTAATTAAATTATAAATATTAACCAAAATATATGTAAAACAATCATGTGTTGCAATAATATATATGCATATATATAGATAAATCTACAAAAACTAATTGAAAAATAGAATATTTTGCAAATATTATGAAAATAATTGTGAAAATCATGCATATAGGTTCAACACAAGGCTTACATCTAACTTAAAACCAATTGGCAATAGGTGGAGTGACCTTCCTTATATTTAACCCACAAGTTTTCTATTTTTATACTCAATATTGGATTTCCCCACTTAACATGCCCCCTCACGTGCGCCCCCTCAAGTGTGCCCCCTCACATGTAAGCCCACTATAAATGCCGGGTCCTATCACGTGGGTTAACAGTCCCCTTAAATGCATGTCGGTTATCTTTAACTTTGGGTCCTGTTAGGTAGACTAACAACTAGCTTCCCAAGATAGAATTTGGGCTCTAATATCATGTGAAAATTGTGCATGTGGGTTCAACACAAGACTTGCATCCAACCTAAAACCAATTGGCAATAGATGGAGTGACCTTCCTCATATTTAACCCATAAGCTTCTTATTTTTATACTCAATGTGGGATTTTCTCACTTTACAATAATAATAATAATAAAAGGAAATTGAAAGCATAAATCAAAAGTAGAATTAGAAATTACCTCATAATATGATTTCAACCTTAATAAGCTACAAAAGAAAAAAAAAATTATTAGATCAAATAAAAATAATTGAATAATATAGAAACTAAAATAAATGAAAAAAAAAAAAACCCAAGACTTAGAAAGGTAGAAGGAATTGAAGGGAAAAGGTGAAGTAATGTAAAAACAATAAAAGAAGAAGAAGAGAGGTAGCTAGAAAGGGAAAATATCAAGAATTAAAATGGTAGAGTTTAGGGAGAAGGGAGGATGAAGAAAGTTAAAAAGGAAAGAGACAATGAAAGATTTAGAAAGGTAGAAGAAAAGAGAGAAGATGAAGCAAGGTAGAAGAGAAAAATGGGTCACGCACATCTATAGAAAAGGGAAGGAGGATCGGAAATTTTGAAGAAGATGAGATGAGAGAATGTTTGAAGATTATGTTTCTGGCTCCATATATATAAAGAAAGTATAATCGACAACATTTCTATCGATTATACTCGATTGGTTATATTTTGAATTTGTTACACTAGGAAATTCAATTTTTTTTTGTCAAGTGAGGTGGGAGTACAAATATAATCAACAACCAATAATGGTTTTGGGCCGACAATCTGAGGTTGAAACCGAAAAGGCCCAGCTTGCGGTTTAGACTTTTTGGGGTTTCATTTCGAATGCATAGTTGCTGCTTTACTCTATGTAAGCTTAGCTTTTGTGTTGCCTTTGTCCAAGTTTACTTGATATTGATTAATTCTTTCGCCAGCTTGGTGTTGTGGGATATTGGGACTACGTTCCCCAACACTCCAATGCCCAGAGCCTTGCAAGCTCCTATTTTGGAAGCTCCAATACCCCTTTTTTTGAGAGAGCAAAATTGTAAACCCAATTGATCAAAGCCATGTAATATCAACACCGCCCTGCCTGGCAATTCATTCATCTTCAGAAAATTCAGCTTTAACAAGTCCAAAAAGGTTTTGGAATACACAAGAATGAAATGCAAGCGCAATCTTGGTACAACTGGATATGTCTTTCAGTATCTGTATCTTTCTTCAGCTATACAGATTCCTACAATCTATACTTGTGTTTATGTATAGTGTTCTGTTTTGCCTTTCCTTTTGGTTACTGGAGTGGTGAGCAACATTGTAAATACATACGAAAACTCACTCAAGTAGAGTAACCTCGCAAAATATACAAACCAAAGGAAGAAACTTGGAGAGAAGAAATGGTGAAGAATCACTACTTGTTCATCATCTTGCTTTCTTTTCTACCTGTTCAGTTCTTGTTTGCACAGAGGACAACTAGAGATGATTCTGAGCCACTGATCCACACACTTGAGGTGAAATATATGACAACATGGCAGCTGCCTCACCTCCTCCTTTACTCTATACTTCGCAAGGCAGATACAGCATTCCTGTTTGTGTTAATTCCAAGCACAAGTTAGCTGGCTTGGCTTTAATTAAGATTCCTGGATTCTCTTATTCAGGTTTAATGACTTACCAGATCATCTTCAATTTCATGAGTTGGATTGCAGTCTACTTCATTGCCAACATCTACATCGTTATTGTCTGCTTTATATCTCCAACTAGGTAACTGGGAAATTTGATCATCAGATGCTCCTTTCTCAGTTAACCCTATGTTCATGTTGTACCCAAGTAGGCTGCTGATCAGTGGCACAAGAAAGCATAGAAAGAGAAACAACAGGAATGGGAATGAGTAGCTGAGAGCATTCCAGGCTAGCAAAGAGATGCAGAGAACATGGAGATTTGGAGCATGGTGGAATGATCCAAACCAGGAATCAAACACCCAAACATTTCCCATCACAAACCATATTGCAAAAAACAGCTCAAGTGAAGTCCGACATTTGTTCATCAAATGCGTGCTCCTGTACATACTATATATCATTTATCAACAATAAAGATTAAATAAGCAATTGTTTCCATGAAACTACTAAACTTTTAAGTGAACTTAGTTTATTGCTTTCCTAAAGGTGTTCTGAAGTTCCTAATTAGTACTTTGGATGGTGTTTTTCTTATATTTTGATCTAATGAAACATTCTCAAGGATCATTAATTACTCATTTGATTGAAATTCTGTACTCCATATTGATGATATACGTTAGGAATCTCTTCTATCCCATATCTGAATAAATATGGCACAGTGTAAAATGAGTTGATTTCCTCATCCTTAGTTTTTGTACCGATCAAACATTAATTTTCAAAGAAACATCAAATATATACTAAATTGATGATTGGTGTGAAGAGAAAGTTTTGTGCTTTGAGATGATATATATCAAATGTTAAATTGATTGAAATTCTACAATCCACAAAGATGATATATATAATAGGAATCCCTTTCATCCCAACATCAGTTTGATATGACAATGCATCCAAGGAATTCACTTTTCAACAGAAAATATAAAGTTTACCTGGATTCTTCATTTCCCCTTTGTTGTTCCAGATCTGAAGGGCCAAAACCATCTCCTAAACTCATGTGAACATGGTGATAACGCCCGCAGAGTAACAGCAGATTGAGAACACAGCCGTTATCATATCCAACAATCTAAAGTCTCATAGGCCAAACCGGCCTCTCCCTCTGTGATATGGCCAAAGTGAAGGTTATGATGGTTATTTGAATAGCCAAAGCCAAGAACTCCAGCATCATCCAAGTGCTAGAGTTGAAAGGATTGGACCCAAGATCAGATCTGGACCCATTCTGATAATGAAAAACTCTTCTCAGGAAGGAGAACCTCCTTGCTCTAGATATCCTCATAGCCATTGTTATCAAGAGTGAAGAAGGGCGAGCTCGAGTAAACCTACTCCGCACTCCTACAGCCATCCTACTTTCATCTCCCATGGGATTTGAAGGAGCTGCATAAGTTGAATTGCAAAAGGAATCTGCTTGAAATGAGCGCCGAGTATTCATTGGAGAAATTTTCAAAGTCAAGTAGCAGGCATTTTTCTTTGTAAATTATAATGAATGAGCACTCGATTCTCAACAAAAAGTACAAACTGTGGACAAGAATTATGCAGGCAGAAAACTCAGGAAGCTAGGTAGAAATCACAAAATTAGCACCGGGAAAAAACTTTCATGTTCTAGGATTAGAATAGTCATGAGATTTCGGTGAGGCAAAAAAGGAAAAAACCCTGGGGAGTAAAGCTGGTGTATCATGCAGGAGGGAACTTTCTCTTGAAACTAATCACAATCTCCAAAAACAAACACAGTCCCCCCCCCCCCAAATTAAATAAATGAAGAAACTTTATATCAACAAATTAAGAAGCCACATCTAAAGGCACCGGAGTTTGCTCTTTGGTAAAGAAAAAAGAAAAAAC